CTATTTAAATGCTTTAGAAATTTAAACCATTAATCTTTTTTTAAAAAATCACCAGTGTCCTTTTGTTATATTGGCATAGAATTGTAGCCATAAATCTCAGTTTCGTGTTTCTAAGTACCACTGATCTTTTGTTTAGGTGTTTAACATATGTAAATAGCATGCATTATTGCAGCCCTTGACTTTTAAACAGTCAGTTAAATAAAAGGTATTCATTTCACTTGGTTAATGCAGTGTTTTGTGTTATCCATTAAAAAGATTTCTAAAGCTTACTGAAAATCATTGAATACTTTTATACAAACATTGAGTGAAAACATTATTTTGTGTGTGCTTGAAAAAAAGGAACAGAATCAGTAACAGCTTATACAATTCCCCTCCAGTGGTTACTGATAACAGTGATAAAAGTGAAGGAAGTTGGTGTGGCAGTTCTGCTCATGCTAGTCAGTTACACAGACGTATGTGTACATATAATTGGTGACACATTTGTATGATGAATGGTTGGTTGCAAATGCTTGAATAATAGATGATACAATATTGAGTGCAGAGCCGACTGTTGATTGGTTGGTGTGATTGGAATGTGTGAGACAGGAGGTGAGGCGGGACTCCTGCTCGCCGGAGCACCGTCCTTCCTCATCAGCGAGACAGTGGATAGAGAGGAGAACCCTCGCCAAAGCCAGATGAAGCATCACAGGAGTCTCGCCAGGGGACAGAAGTAAGGGAAATGACAGAGGAGTTCAAGGAGTTAAACATAAAGGAAAATAGGTCAGAAAAGGCAGGAAATGAAGGAAAAAGGGGGAGGGGAGATAGAAGCGGGATAGGGGAAGTGCAGGAAAGGAAGAGTTGCCTCTTGGTTTGGAATGGGTACAGATGCAAGACCCTTGGACCCAGAAATGGGAAAGGCTAAGAACACCTAAGGAAGAGGCAGATTACTGTATAGACAAAGAATGGTGATTTCACCAAGACCTTCTTAGAGGGGAGAAGCTGAAGGGAGAGACTGGAGGAGGAAATTGGGAGCGGAGAAAGAAAAGGTAGAAAGAGAAATGAAAGAGTGGGGCGTCCATGCGCAGATGAGAGGACGCCCTCGCGGATGAGCATGGTGCGCTCGTGGGGCACACAAGTACGCATGCACGAGAGTGCACCACACCCATCTGTAAATGCCCCACTCTCCTGCGATGCACACGAGGGCACCACACCGACCATTCATGTGGGCGGGGGGTGGGAGATCTGTCTCCGTGGCCCGGTCCTGTGAAGCCCACGGACTGGCACCGCACTGCGGACCCATGTTTGGGGATCCTGATATAGAAGATAGTAAGCAGTCTACAAATGGGAAACATTACACCCACATCAAACTACATAATACGAGATGGTGAAGAATGAGTTTACAGTTGAAAGAGAAATTATTTAATTCAGTATCTGAATGGGGCAAAAAAAGAAGGCTCGCTCTGGGGCCCAGTAAAAAGTGCAACTCCTAGTACTTGGTAGAGGTTTGCGGGATGGTTTTTCTCTAGACCAGACATTCTTGATCTTTTTTTGACCACTGCCATAAGCACAATATGAAAGAAATATAAGCTGAATTAAGTTTGCATAAATTACATAATAAACCTTATAATGGGATGTGTGCAGAATTGCTTCCAGTCTGTGTCCCCCTTCAAATGTGCCAAACCCCCTGAGGGAGGCATATTGCCCTTCTTGAGAATGGCTGCTTACAGGTGGATATTAAAAATATCTATTTGGTATGATTAAGAAATATAAAATAAGTGAAACTAATAACCTGTTTTTAAAGAATATGTTAAATGTCCGGTACAAGTATAGAAAGTATTTATGTCCGTTTAACTCTCCATTAGGATTAGTGACTGAAATAGAGAATTTTCCTGCCAATATGAAGGTTTATGCAGAATTATTTAAAGAAAAAAAGAGACTGGTTGTATAAAATGAGATCGAAAGATCAAATTGATTGATTGATTGATTGATTGATTGATTGATTGATTGATTGATTGATTGATTTGATTTGATTTGATTTGATTTGATTTGATTTGATTTGATTTGATTTGATTTGATTTGATTTGATTTGATTTGATTTGATTTGATTTGATTTGATTTGATTTGATTTGATTTGATTTGATTTGATTTGATTTGATTTGATTTGATTTGATTTGATTTGATTTGATTTGATTTGATTTGATTTGATTTGATTTGATTTGATTTGATTTGATTTGATTTGATTTGATTTATGAAACGGATCCTTCAAAACAAGAATGTGTATTGTATATCATGGTTGAATTATATGCAGTTAAAAAGATGGACTAAAGAATGGGTAAAGAAGTATAATAAAGGTAGAGAATATACAAAATATGAACAATTTATATTAGAGGAAGATATTCAGATGACAGACTCAGTAAAGGGTACGGTGAGTAAAATTTATAGATTCCTGCTTCATCTAGAAGAAGAAGAGAAAGAAGCATTGAAGTTAGTGTTCGAACAAGACTTAGGAAAAAGAGTAAATGATGAAGAATGGAGGAAGATGTACAAAATGAGGTTTTTACAATTTACTGTATGTCAGTGAGAATAAGAGAAAAATGTTTCAAATTGGGTTTAAGATGGTATTTGACACCGACAAAATTTAATAAAATTAACACTAGTTATCTGAATGTCTGTTGGAAATGTTACATATAATTATATGTTTTATTCTAATTCCATAGAATTTCATGTTTTATTATGAAAAGGAAATTGGTACATACTTTCATATGTGAAAGTACGAAGATTTTGGAAACTAGTCTTTAAAGAACTAAATGGCATATGTCAAAAAGATATAGAATTTAATCCTGAGATGGCTCTGTTATCAATATTCGAGAATGTGGAATATTATAAGATGACTAGAGAATTGATTACCAATTTATTAACAGCAACCAGATTAATAATAGCTAGGAATTGAAAATCCTGGCAAATAGAAGGGGAAGATATGGAGGCAGTGACAGATTTTACCTTCTTCAGCTCCATGATCACTGCAGATGGTGACAGCAGCCATGAAATTAAAAGGCACCTGCTTCTTGGGAGGAAAGCAATGAGAAACTTAGACAGCATCTTAAAAAGCAGAGACATCACCTTGCCGACAAAAGTCCGAATAGTCAAAGCTATGGTTTTTCCAGTAGCGATGTATAGAAGTGAGAGCTGGATCGTAAAGAAGGCTGACCGCCAAAGAATTGATACTTTTGAACTGTGGTGGTGGAGGAGACTCTTGAGAGTTCTCTGGGCTGCAAAGAGATCAAACCTGCAAAGAGATCATACCCTTTTTGAAGGATATCAACCCTGAGTGCTCACTGGAAGGACCGATCATGAAGCTGAGGCTCCAGTACTTTGGCCATCTCATGAGAAGAGAAGACTCCCTGGAAAAGACCCTGATGTTGGGAAAGTGTGAGGGCAAGAGGAGAAGGGGAGGAAAGAGGACGAAATGGTTGGACAGTATCATCGAAGCTACCAACAAGCATTTGACCCAACTCCGAGAGGCAGTGGAAGACAGGAGGGCCTGCCGTGCTCTGATCCATGGGGTCATGAAGAGTTGGACACGACTTAACAACTAAACAAACAGACAAGGAATTGGAAATCAAAGTGTGAATTTCGAATGGACAAATGGTATAATGAAATATGGAACATTGCTATAAATAAGTTAACTTGTCATTTAAAGGTTAAGAAAGGAGAGATGAAAAAGAATAATTTCTATGATATATGGGGTAGATTTATTGAATCTATATAAGCTAACAAGAGGAAAAGGGAAAGCTCCAAATCAAGAATCAAGGCAGTTCTGGAGAGGAGGACAGTAAAGGAAGAATAAAGATAGAGGAAGAAGAGGATTACTGCAAGAGGTCTCAACTATGGTGGTGGGGAACACAGTCGATTTGTATTTTGATTTATGCATTTTATGTTTATGTTGTAGTTTAAGAAAAAATAAATAAAAAAGAGAATGGCTGCTCTAGCCTAAAGCCTATCCTAGTGTTACTAAGGAGTGGTGGCTAGGTATATGATGAATATACTAGAGATGTCCCTGAGAAGAGTGTGACCTGCTAGTGTAAAAATTAGTGGGAAGAGACACCATCTTGGGGAGGAATGTTGCAGTTGGATTAATTGAAGTTGCTTGGACACGTTTCTCTCCTTTAGTTTCACTGAAATCATAACATAATCTTGTCCTGTTTCCCTATTAGTATAAAATCCTATAATTAGATCTGCATGTGGGATTAGTTCTTCAGCCAGGTCTCCACTACACAGCTTAGGACTCAGATGTAGCTGTGGCTTCAATATGTGTTACTTAGCTGACTGTGGAACATGTCCTGGGTGGTCACTTTGTCAGGGCAGAGGGCAATGGTTTGCTGTGCTTTCTTTTCTGTGTTTACTTCCCATCTCTTGGAAGACCATTAAATCCCTGTTTCCTTTCAGGATCTGTTAAATTTTTCTCCTCAAAAATCTCCCCTCCATCTCCTCAAATTAAAAGGAATGTGATGCAACCATCTCCTAGGGAGCTGTGTTGCATAGAATTACATGTTTTATTATGCTTCTTTGAACCCCTTAACTCAGATTCCCTCAGCCACCCAAAACTCTTTTGCCCTGGTTGTTCATTCTCCTTTGCTACTTATTTAAAATATTTTTACCACATCTTTCTCCTTGAAAGGACCCAAGGAAACCTACCTGGCACTCTTGTACCAAGGAACGTACTTTATTGATTACTCCTACTTTTCCCTTCCTTTGTTTTTCTGCCTCCCTCTATTAGTAATGCTTTTAAATTGAATACCTATGCAAGCAACATGTGTATTCAATGTTGTCGGAAATATAAATATTGCTGTTATTGATTGATATTCTCTCATGTGTGTATGCGCGCGCGCATGCGTGTGTGTGCATAAACCATTATAGGTTGCACCATTCTCAATTGCCAAATTTTAACTTTAACTTTGGTTACAGTCTTGTGATTGTTGTTTTCTTTGCGGTTGACTGTTAGTCCTATGTTTTTCTTACAGTTCTATCTTCAAGACACTAAGAGTAGCAATGGTACCTTTATAAATAGTCAAAGGTTGAGCAGAGGATCTGAGGAGAGCCCACCATGTGAAATTCTGTCTGGTGATATCATCCAATTTGGCGTAGATGTGACGGAGAACACGCGGAAAGGTAAGGGTACGGATCATTTTTTCTCTTTATTTTTAGTTTTAAAGTAAGCTTCAGAGAAAGACAGTCCACTTGGTTTATTTATTTATTTTATTTATTTACAATATTTTTTAGCTGCACCATTACCAGTGGCTTCTGGGCGGCGTACAACAATATTAAAACTTAAAAACATTAAAAACATTTTAAAAGACAATATAAAATATCATATATTAAAACAATTCTTAAAACATTAATATTAATAAGTCCTGCTGCTCATGTGGCCAGCTAGGGAATACTGTTTAATTAAAATGCTGGCTAAACAGAAAGGGCTTTGCCTGGCGCCAAAAGACCAAGAGTGTTGGAGCCAGGCGGATCTCTATAAGGAGGGCATTCCAAAGTTGGGGAGCAACAGCTGAGAAGGCCCTATTTCGACATGCCATCCCCCTCACCTCTTTCAGGGATGGCACCTTCAGAAGGGCCTCCTGGCCTGATCTTAGAAGATGGGCAGGCTCATATGGTTTAGACTTAGTGAAGGGATTTCTCCATGGAAGTAGATAGGTTTAGCTCTCTGCTTCCGATCAATGAGTATCACTTTTCTCAGCAAGTGTTTTTGTCCAGACAATCATGCATGTGTAACAGTACTTTTGTTGTTCTAAGTTATAAATGCAAATACCCTGAAGCCTGATTATTGGCCAAATTACTTGTTAAATGCATCTTTCCACTTGTGTATATGTATTTTAATATATACATACTGGTTGAGATTGTACTACTAATAAACTTTTAACTCACTCAACCATGCTGTCGTTTATAACAAAAGTGACGCCTACCCCTAGTTGCTCTTAGCTGCAGGAGAGAAGACTTTATGAATAGTGATATATTTCTTTCTGGGAGATATAACATCTTCTGGTTAAAATCTCATTCAAAACCAAAGTTTGGGTGGACAGTTGTTAGAACGGTCTTTACTATGGTCTTATTTTAGGTTGATTGCCATCCTCTTCCCCGCAACTGGTAATAAAAGTACTGTAATGGCAACATACACAAATGCTAAGATGTGTTTAACATACTAACTTGTATTACCTTTAATACACTTTCTACTAATTAGCCCTCATAAACGTTTGAATGACAAATAGAAATAATATAAATACAATAAAAATACATGATTAGAATTGTCTGTGTCTGTTGTAGTGTATGGATTTTGCTATATTTTCCTTCAGCTTGTCCATATGTTGATTGTTGCTTTTTTTCTGTGATCATATACTTCCTCTATTCCAGGTAGGTGTCAGAACATTAAGGCAAAAAGCACAGGATTTTTTGAAATTTATTATCACTAATTTTATAAAATATATCTCTCTTTTTGCCATCTAAATCTAAGGCAGCTAGCTTCATTTTTCTTGTTGTTCTGAACAAGCATATGGCATCAGTGATAGACTAGCTGAGGACAAACAAAGCTTTGTTGGTTCAGTTTGTGTTGGATGTGGCTACACTCCCTCTGAAAATCAAGACTGTTATTTCTGTGGACCCTAGCTCAGGTTTTGACTGGTTTACCAACTGAATTAACATCCTAAGATGTCTGATTTGGTCATGGTTATGTATGTCTTTGGTACATCCCATGTGGGTAGTAAATTCTAGTTGTCTATGAAAACTGTTGAGAAGCTACATATAGTCCAAAATACTGCACCCAGATTATTGACCAGACTCACCTATAGCAAGAACATGACTTCACCATCTTCCCAAATGTTTCTGGGCATAATTCAAAGTTGTGGATATGACATATAAAGGTTCTATGCAATTTAGGTCAGCGCTCTCTGAAAGACTCCATTTTTCCATATAAGAATACCCAGATTTTCAATGAAGGTATATCTCATGGTCCTGCTGCCCCCAGATACACATTTTGTGAAGATTTGAAAGATATGACTTTCTCAGTGGCTGGTCTCAGGCTCTGGACTTTCCTACCAGTAGTAGCTAGGCTGGCCTCCTACTTACTGTCCTTCTGTCGGCGGGCAAATACATTTTCAGGTGGGCTTTTGGCAATTGACTGATTTTTGAGGAAGCAGCATTTAATGGGTGGGTGCTATATGTTCTTCATTGGTATGCTTTTAAAATTGATTTTAATTCAGTTTTATCAATTTAATTCACTTTTGTTTAATTGTACTTTAATTTTATAAATTTTCATGTGTTTATGTAGATCTTCTTAAAGTTAATCATGTTATGGGCCGTCTTGGGTCCCACATTTGGAAGAAAGACAAGATGTAAATCAAATATACATTATTTTAGTAATTCACAGATGCATAGACTACTTGAAAGAAAGTAGCTAACTGGAAACTTGGTCTGTTTCCCAGTAGTTTCAAAATGAAGGGTGTAACTATTTGTCCAGGATAACCTTGGTTATAAAATGGATTTGTGAGTATGTTTAGATTAAAATACTACTTGTCTCTGTACAACTTATTGTCACATACAACATCTGTCTCCTAAATATAGTCCTTTTTGTTTACCTAGATGTTCACGTTATATAAGAGAAATAATCCAAATTCAGTCCTAAAAGAAAGAAAAGAAAGTGGTGCCTCGACGTACAACCTTAATCTGTCCCAGAAGATGGGCGTAACTTGAAATGATCGTAAGTCAAAGCACCATTTGCCACAGGAATGCATGGGAATGGGATTAATCCATTCCAGCACTTAAAAAAAAAACCCCAAAACCCACAAAACACTGCAAGCCACATTGGAACCTTTAAAAAAAAAAAACCCCAAAACCCCACAAAACACTGCAAGCCACATTGGAACACGATGGGACTGCAAAAAATTATCAGACAAACAAACAAACAAAGCCAGTCCCATCGGAACGCGATGGGGCTCCAAAAAACAAGCACACACATCCCCCCCCAAAAAACCTGCAAGCCCCATCAGAACGCGATGGGGCTGCAAAAAATCAAAAAACAGAAAACAACAACACACAAACAAACAAAGTCAGTCCCATTGGAATGTGATGGGGCTGCAAAAAATAAGCACACACACCAAAAAAAGCAGTGCAAGTCCCATTGGAACATGATGGGGCTGCAACAACAACAACAACAACAACAACCGGAACGTGATGGGGCTGCAACAACAACAACAGCAACAACAACAACAACACAAATCCAGTCCCATCGGAACACGATAGGACTGCAAAATATAAGCATGCACACACAAAAAAAGCACTGCAAGTCCTATCAGAATGTGATGGGGCTGCAAAAAAAATCTCCAAAAAACAAAACAACATAGCACAGAAACATAACCCCCCCAACCCAAACCCACACTGCAAAACCCTGTAAATGTACTCACCCAGGAGCAGAAAGCAGCACCAGTCAGTGAGAAGCTCTTCGGATGCACACACTCTAACTGTTGGGGTGAAAGAGCTGCTCAGCTTTTTCACCCCAAATTTGAATTTCCCACCTTTTTCCCTGCTCTTTTCTGATTGTTAACTCAAAGCTCCGGCCACAAGTCAAAGCAAAATTTTGCAGCTAGAGCTGGTCGCAACTCGAAATGGTCGTATGTCGGGACATTCGTAAGTCGAGGCACCACTGTATGCTACTTTATTCACTCCTCCTAGTTTGGCACTTTTATACAGTATTTTATTTTTTTCTCTGAGAAGATCAGTATGGCCCCAGCATTGCCACAGAGAATTATATTGAGATTATACGATTTGCTGGAGAGCATAAATTATTTTGCCCTTTTATTTTGCCTTTTTATTGTATTTTAAATGCTGTAAGCCGCCCAGAGACCTTCGGGTAATGTGGGCGGCATATTAGTTAGTTAGTTAGTTAGTTAGTTAGTTAGTTAGTTAGTTAGTTAGTTAGTTAGTTAGTTAGTTAGTTAGTTAGTTAGTTAGTTAGTTAGTTAGTTAGTTAAACAAACAAACAAACAAACAAATAAATAAATAAATAAATAAATAAAATAAAGCACACTGTTCAGTCTCTATGCCAAGTCTAACACTTTAATCTAACGCTCAAGCCATAATAGCAATATTCAATACTTTTTTGTTTCTTCTAAACTGGGCAACCTAGAACATAAAGTGTAAGCTTTTCTTGGCTTTTAAAAATATATTTCTAAATTCATTTGCTTATGAATGTGGAACTGTTTGAGCAAAATTAACATATCAGTCTGTTTTCATATCAAGTCTATAAAAATGTAATAGTTTCCTTTTGGGGAAATCCAGATTTCTATACTTAAATAGGTAAAGTATCGAAAGATTCTTGGTATAAAGTTAGTATTGATCATCAGAAGAGAAGCCCTTAAGTGGTGCAGGTGAAATCAGCCCTGGATAGGTATGAACTGTTATTTTTTTTCTAGTAACAGACTTCTTGAAAAATGTGCTTTGAGATGACATAGCATATAAAAAGTCCCATAATCGTTTTCGAGATTTCCACTTTTCTCTTTACATCCTGGAAGAGGATAAACATGCTATTATGTCATTGGATCCCATTGTCAGTGCTGAAAACTTAAATTGGATTCATAAGACTGGACCTGCTTTGTGTTTTTTTCTCTTAACAAAGTCTAATTCAGATGCAAGACTGCTTTTTCTTTGTATCATATCTTGAAGCATATTATTGGAAGCATGTACTATGTCTTTGTACTTGAATATATTAAAGTTTGATGATTGTCATTTGGTGATTAGTTATACCACATAAACCAACAGGAGTTTAAAATTCACTGATGCTCATGCCTTCATATCTTTTCATTGGAAATACAAATTATTGTGGATCTTGGACAATATGGATTTCAGGGCTATAAAAACTGAGTGAAGAGAAAAAGCCATCATTTCAGGGTTGTTATTATTCATAAAAGCAATATATAGATACAAATGTTTATAGTTTGTTTTCCGCCAACAAGCTTTTTCTAATTTATGACAACTGTATGAATTAATTACATCCCAGAGGCCCCATTATTAACAGTCCTGTTCAAATCTTGCAAACTTAAAATTATGGTTCTTTTGCCAAGTCAATCTGTCTCACATTTGGCGTTTAATGTTTCCCACTGCATCTTGCTTTT